GGAGAGGGGGTGTGAGCTCCTTCCTTTTGGCAGCCTGAGCTCTGGTGAAGAGGAGGAGGGCAAAGAGGAAGAGAAGGAGAAGAAGACGTCTCCGAGAGCTGCAGCTGATGAGGTGGTGAAAGAGGAAGAGGAGGAAGTAGAGCTGGCGTTGGCAGAGATGAAGGCCAAGGAGCTGGCGGAGTTAAAGAGGTGAAAAGTTGTCACGGGGGGTGTGAGCTCCTTCCTTTTGGCAGCCTGAGCTCTGGTGAAGAGGAGGAGGGCAAAGAGGAAGAGAAGGAGAAGAAGACGTCTCCGAGAGCTGCAGCTGATGAGGTGGTGAAAGAGGAAGAGGAGGAAGTAGAGCTGGCGTTGGCAGAGATGAAGGCCAAGGAGCTGGCGGAGTTAAAGAGGTGAAAAGTTGTCACGTGGGGAGAGATGGGGGAGCACCAGGGCAGCAGAGCACAGGGCAGGGGGGGCTCCAGCCGTGGGGTGTCAGAGCTTGTCCCTCTGTTGACAGCGGGTGGGTTTGTGGGTCTGGGGGGGTGGGGGTCGTCTGCTCCTCCGAGCAGGTGAAGCAGCTGCTCCGAGCTGGCGTGGGTCCCCCTTGTCCCGGGGTTGGGGACCTCTCACGGAGGGATGACAGTGCTGCTGAGGGAGATGGCACCGCTGTGGCGGTGGATGAGACACGGGGACGGGGATGGGGGGGGGAGGCAGCGTCACCTCATTCCTTTTGCCTCCTGCAGAAAGAAGAAGAAGATCCTGAAGGATCAGCGGAAGCAGCGTGAGCGTGTGGAGCTGAAGATGGACCTCCCTGGCGTCTCCATCGCCGATGACGGTGACACCAGCATGTTCTCCCTCCGGACTATCCAGAGGACCCCGGTGTGTGGGGGGCAGGGGAAGGCCAGGCCCCCAGAGCCATCGGGGAGGGACAGCGATGGGCACGTGGCTGTGACTCGTCTCGCTTGCATTGCAGTTGCTCAACGAGGTGACGCGGGGGGACATGGCATCGGCAGACGCCCTCCTGGAGATCGGGCCTGGCGACGATGACATTTACGTCTCGGATCACGAAGAAGAGGACGACGTGTCCCTGGCCAGCGAGCTGGACCCCGAGGAGCTGGTGGAGATAGAGGCCCGTCAGCGCCGGCTGGAGCGGGAAAGGCGAGAGCAGAGCGCCAAGAGGTGAGAGCGGAGCGAGGCCTCCGGGGGCAGAGGCTTCCCTGGGGGCAGCTCCAGAGTCCAGCCGTGGGCACAGCCCAGCCTGGCTGGGGGGCACCCATCCTGCTGCTGCTTGTCACAGGGTGAAGTTTAAGCAGAAGGAAGAGGAGGAGAAAGGGGAGGAAGAGGAGAATCCCCTGCTGGTGCCCCTGGAGGACAAGACGGTGCTGGAGGAACGGCAGACCAGCCTGTGGTTTGGGAAGGTGAGTCCCACTGGGGCAGAAAGGACAGGGCAGCCTCGGCCACAGCAGCTCCCCGGGTGTGCCCTGCGTCCCCTGACCCTCTGCTCCTCCTCCCCAGGACGCCTTCGCCGGCATCGAGGACGATGCGGATGAGGACCTGGAGCTGGGGCAGTCGCAGATGTTGGCTGAAAGACGGTGCGAGTCTCAGAGAGGTTCGTGGGGGGCTGTGGAGGGGCCCAGAGGGACAGCCCCGCAGCCTGGTGTGGGTCCTTGGGTCAAACCGTGATGGGGCTGCTGCTCTCAGCAGGAGCAGAGATCTCCAGAGGTTGTTTCCAGCCTGTGTCATTACTCAGCTGACGAGCTGGCATTAGGGCAGCGTTAACGAGCTGAGTCTCTAGAGGAATGATCTGCCGTGGGGGCTGCCTCGACCCTTTCTCACTCAGAGGTTCCTTTTCCCCAGACAAAGCAACGAAGAAAGGGCAGAAGAAGAAGGTACCCCAGGAGGAAGCTCCAGCTGAGCCCCCGCCCGCCGCAGACCCGGGACCCGACGCCGGTAACGCGCCGGGTGAGCAGAGCAGCGATGATGACAGCAGCAGCGACGAGGAGAGGTGAGGGCTGAGAGCGGGGCGGTCTGGGTGCTTCTCCCCCAGCTCCACAGCCCTGGAGAGCCGGGGGGTGAGGCCCCCTGCCCTGACGGCTCTCTGCAGGCCACCGACGCCGCTGGGGAGGAAGCGGGGCCGCGTGGAGCCGTGTGGCTTTGAGGTGGTGCCCATTGAGAACCCAGGTGAGCGGGGGGTGCGGTCTGCGCCCAGAGGTACCACGTGAGTCCCTCTTTAGGGACAAGGAGGCAGGTCAGACCGTGCTTCTCTGAGCTGGCAGGGCTGCCTGCTGCTCCCTGGGGCTCGGGCTGCTTGCAGACAGGCCAAGCTTTCCTCTCTCCGTGTGCTGCAGGGAAAAGAGCCCGTGTCTTGGACGCAGAGGGCCTGGCGCTCGGCTCCGTCATCGCCACCTCCAAAAAGGCCAGGCGGGACCTGATTGACGACTCCTTCAACAGGTACTTGCGGCTGGGGGTGCTGGAGAGGGAGCAGCGTTCGGTGTCCCAACGGGAGACAGGCCGTGGAGGTGGCAGATGGATTGGTGGGGGGA